AGAGAAAGCGCCCGGGAGCGCCGGATCCCCGGCGGGAGTGGCTAAGGGGCGGGTCTGTCCGCAACTGGAGCACTGGTAACGCGGCCAGATCGGGAGGAGCCACGCGTCGCGATGTGATGACGTCAGGCCACGGGCCGAGCTTGGCGAGTTTGACTTGCGCTGCAGCGTGTGGGCGTTTTGGTCCCAGCTCTTGAGCTGAGGAGGAGGTGTGCTTCAAACCCGGAATGTTACCGCCTGTTGTAACTGGAGATAAGGAAGAGGAAACAGCTGAGGAGGATTGTCCTGAATTGGTTCCCATTGAGACGAAGCAAAGAGAGGAAGAGAAAAGCTTGGCCCCGGCGCCAAGATCCCATTCACCATTATCACCGGGTATTTAGGTAACTAATCATCCCGGTCAGGAAATGCCGCGAACTCAGATCTGGGGGGCTGCTGTGTTACCTGCCTTAGGCTCTGGGGCCCTGAGGCCGAGAGCAAATGTTTGAGGTAGGAGCTGGGTCACTTGCTCCTCGTGTGGATTTCCACCCCATTACTCACGTGAGATTGGAAGTGAGCTTCGCGTTTCGAAACAAGGCTTTGAAGCCTGCACCCACCCTCTCATTGTCCTGATGAATCACAGTTCAAATGCCTTGACATAATTACGAGGACCTGTATTGCCTGGCTCTTGCAAACTCTCCAGCCTGCCAGAAAGTGGCCCAGCACTTTAGCTGATTTACTTCTTGAAAGATGCTCCCTGGGATGCTTTTCTTCTTACTGTTACTTTGGCTAGATGTCTCTTCGGTTCTCCATCGCGTGTAGTAATCTCCTTGCTGAATGTGTCATCACATAGCATAACTGCTTCACTCATCTAAACTCCCCACTATTTCCTAAAGTCTTTTTATTCGTTGTTTATTGGTACATTTTAGGTGTACGTTATGATCACATTCATCTTTGGGAATCTGGACCTGTACAGGATATATCTTGGTTCTTGGTTTTTTGTTTTTTGTTTTTTTAACATTCTGCTTCCCTCCCTTTTCCCCCTCCCCATTTACATGAACTTTACGCTTTTACCTTCTTTTCTCATATTTTTTCTTCGCCTTTTTTCCTTTCTCCCATCCCTCCCTGCTTCCCTTTCCCCTTTGAACCGTTTCTCACTATTTCACATCTATTTTAGGTGTCATGGAGGCAGAAATTGCCGCCATTTTCACTCTCACCCAAGGCGCAGCATAAATCTGGTCATCTGGTCCATAGTTGATACTCTTGAGTGAGTGACCTGTATCTTAAAGTCTTTCTTCTTCACAACATAATTATTTCTTAAGCTCTGGTAATTCTACTAGAGGGTTTCTTACATTTGCACCTGTCTTTAATTTTCACTGGTTCAGAAGTCTGTCTCACACTTGGACTAACTTTAAGAATTTCCTCATTGCTCTGTCTCCTTAAAGTCTGTACCTTCTTTTTACAAATTTAGTTCTATTTTGTTTATTTATTTTGTTATTTTTGAGACAGTGGCTCACTTTTTAGTTCAGGCTGGCCTTGAACTCACTACGTAGCTCAGGCTGGTTGTGAACTGCAGGAGATCCTCCTACCTCAGCCTCCCAAGTGCTGAGATTCCAGGTATGTGCCACTCTGCCCACTCTAGTCTGTACCTTCTATATGTCACACTTGTGTAATATGGAGCTTCACCAAGCCCTCTAAACATGTTTTCATCTCTTCAAAAAGCTTTTTTTTTTTTTCTTTCTTTTGGTACTGGGAACTCGAGCCCTTGCGCTCTCAAGGCCGGCGGCGGAAGCACTGAGCTAAATCCCTGGCCCCTTCAAAAGCTTTTAAAGGACTATAACTAAAAGTGTTGAAGATATTATTACCCCAGTACTTCCTAAGTCTTTCTTAGATACACCGTACAGACTTGCAAATGTATTTCAGCAGACAAGTAAGAGGTGTGATCAAAATTACAGTGATTGTTTACAAAATTTATTGTAATAAAAGGCACATTGCCACTACCCTCTACCTCGAATATTCTCTTTGAACACACTGATTGTTTTTGCAACTTTCTGGAGCAGTTGGGGACACCTTATTGTGTGTCTTTATGAGATGTACTCAAAAACAGGGCGAATGCTGCTGCAGAAAATCGGGCTTGTAAAAACAGTATGGTCTGCCGGGCGTGGTGGCGCATGCCTGTAATCCCAGCACTCAGGAGGTTGAGGCAGGAGAATCGCTGTGAGTTCGAGACCAGCCTGGGCTACATAGTGAGTTCCAGGTCTGTCTCAACTACATAGTGAGACCCTGTCCTCAAAAAAACAACACCACACACACAAAAACAATATGGTGTGCCTCTATCCACCACGGTCACTGGACCCGGCGGTGCGGGACTTCCGGCTCTTCCCCCAAATCAAATTGACTGTGAAAGCATTTTGAATAGTTTCAGGACATCAAAACAGCCAGGACAGTGCGACTAAAAGACATGCAACAAGACTTCAGAGCTGCTTCAGAAAGTGGCAAGAATGATGGGAGAAATATATTCAAAGACAGGGTGTATTTTGAGGAGAATTAATGGTAATGTGTCTTTGACTAATATATTTTTAAATATTTCCTTGTACAAGCTATGTACTTTTAAAATCTTTCAGTCACTGTTTATAACAGTAAAATGAGAATCACTAACAGAAAATAATATTCTTTTATTTATATAATTGAATAGTCCTGCTATGCCGTGAAGGTTTTCTTTCCTTTAAAAAGTTTAGTTTGGTGCACAGGATGTTTCTTCTGTTTGACAAGATTATACAGTACTAGGATTAACATGCCACCTACTGGATAGAGTTAGTATAGTTTATGTGTTTCTAAATGCTGAATATTGTGTCTTACGCTTCCTATTTCTGTTCCCCAGTTCATAAAAATTCGTTTTATAGTTTAAGCGTGCTAAAAGTGGCCATGTAGTCTGAATTTATATCTGATTAATTGATATGGAAAGAAAAGGTCTTCATATGTAAACTTTAGGTATGTAAATCAAATATTCTTGGTTTAGAAAAATAGTCATCCTGTAAAAGGACTTACACATATTAAATGTTTAGAATTAGACCGTATTTCTTAGAGGCCACTACTTCATGGATTCCTTAGTCAATAGAAGTTTTAGGTGCCCTTATGATATTATAAGTTTAGAAGACTACATATTAAACTGAAGAAAAACTGATTGAACTTACAGGATTATTTGTAAATATTTATATATGAAGCATTTGTAAAGCATATTAGAGTAGTTTTGAAAGATTGCTTTCATCTTTTTTTTTTTTTTACAATCCCCCATACCATGAGTGTCCAACCTTGTGGCTTGCTGGGACTATTGTCTTGAGTCTCTTAAAAAAATATTTCATGTAGTTAATCTATATGTAACAAAACTTCCTTTAAAAATGTATTTTATTTTATGTAAAAATATTATTACAGGGCCTCATTACCTGCTGTGTAGGGCCACATGTGTCTCCTAGGCCTCAGGTTAGACACACCTGGGTCTATCGCATGCTTGAGTATTATATGGAAAATAGCACATAGATGCTTAAAAACATTAAACATTTTAAAATTAGTCTTTGTATCTTTAATAGTAGTCTTTCAGTTTTGTTGCTTTGTTTTATAGGTGCTGGAAAGACAACACTACTGAACTACATCTTAACTGAGCAACACAGTAAAAGAATAGCAGTTATTTTAAATGAATTTGGTGAAGGTAAGTAGAAGTCAATAAGTGTCATGTTGCAAGAACTTACAGGACAGTTTATTCCACTTGTGAATTGATATTCTCTATTTTAAAATGAGGATAGAAAGTATTATAATGTGAACACATTGATATGGATAGTTCTGGAAGAATTAATTTCTGTCAGGCTTTAGTTTGTATGGATTTGGGATACTGAAATAATTTCTATAAAATTTTATTTTGTTTACCTTTGTAATTCATACTAACAGAATTAACTTAGATTTTTACAGAAGTGATTCTCGTGGTCAAAATCTTGAAAGTGCTTTTAGCAACTAAAAAGTGTTTTTGTACTGACTACACATTGTGTATTACAATTCATAAAAAACTTTTTGATGGGTGGGGTTCTGCCCCTCAGTGGTTCTGCCGCCTGCTTTGCGAGGTCCTGAGTTCGATTCCCAGTACCAAAAAAACAAACAAAAGCAAACCACTTTTTGAAAATGCTTTAGATGTAAGTTCACGTTGAATGTTATCTGCAAAGCAGTTAAAACGAAAGGTTTTAAAAATAAGTTAAAGGGATAGTCTCTACCCTCAAGCACCTCAAATTATCTATAAAAATATGTCTACTTTTTCAGTGTTTTGGCTTTAATATTAAACTATGGTTTAAACAGTCTGTACAGCAGTATTAGATATAATACTTTGACTACTTTTACAGAAATTTTTCTTCACAAGTATGAAGTTTAATAAAATCTCACTTTCAGCCAGAAATAGTTTGTTAGAATGTTTTTTAAAATATATTATTTTTTTCAGTTGTAAATAGGTAAAAGAACTAGCTTTTATGAGCAGAATGGAACACATGTGAGTAAAACTTGATTTCTAGATCTAGTAAAGAGAAAACTTTGACTACTTTTACAGAAATTTTTCTTCACAAGTATGAAGTTTAATAAAATCTCACTTTCAGCCAGAAATAGTTTGTTAGAATGTTTTTTAAAATATATTATTTTTTTCAGTTGTAAATAGGTAAAAGAACTAGCTTTTATGAGCAGAATGGAACACATGTGAGTAAAACTTGATTTCTAGATCTAGTAAAGAGAAAAATTCTTTTAGACAAAATAAAAATTTTTTA